CTGTCCTTTTGACAGTCCTTTTGACAGCTTCCATTTCACTACAGTATCCTTGATAAACACGGTACCATATATTTTTCGTGTGAAAAATTGAACTTCATTGATTTCATATTAGATGGTGATTGAAGAACCGTATTTAAATTTTATTTTTACCCCTCCAATAAATGATATGGTATTCCTTTTCAGTGCTTGTATAATTATTGATTTATATATTTATCTATCTACCTATTACTTTAGTAAAATATAAGCATTATTTGTATAAGAGCAAACATCATTTTGAAACCAGTAACCCCAAAAGTTCTTTTGTAATCAGTCTAATGAAGATTGAATCCTCGAATAGTTCTTAACAATGTGTGTAAATTAATATTGACATTTACAAATCAGGTGTCCATTGACAATATGTAGATATAAACTAATTATTTTCTGTATTGATTATCAACGCTAATTCTGTAATCTGAAACCATACTAGTAAATGTAATTCTGTTGTTTCAGCTAAATCTTGGAGAGTTCAAAACGCTCAATCATTTGCACTCATAGAATTGCCGGTCACAATTTGACAGTTCTACACACCGTGAATGAAAAGAAAAAGTGTTTACGATTAAAACTATAAATTCTATTTCATTTTTCATCATCAGCTGGTAAATTGTAACTGCATTAATCATAAAGCTGAAGGAGCATTCTGTATGAAAATGGTAAAAAAACCATTTACTTTCTTTATTCAAATACATTTATACACTGCGTATTCAAAAGAACAGGAACGAGCAGTTAGAAAGTTAGAAATATGAGGATGGTGGATATGCAAAAAGGAAATCTCTTTTCAAAGTAAAAACAATGTCCATAATACTTATATGCACAATTCAAATACGAAACAAGTGTTAACTTCGTCAATATACATGTAATACGCTTTAAAACATAGTTATTACTAATCTGTATGTTACTGTTTAACAGCACCCCCTCCCTAATGTTTTTTTTCTCTTTATTTCCTTTTTTTTTCAATATGATAAATCCGCAATACAACAAACACACTAGAGTACGGTAATGATTACTTAGAAATGTAAGTGTACGTAATCATTATCCATTTCGTAGATAATTTGTAGTTTCTAATAAAATGAAAATAAAAATATTTTTCCTAAGATACTTACACGAAATTATATTATTAAAAAATAAGAAGATATGGTTTGATTGTCAATAAGTCAATAAGAAAACTATCCAATAGAGCCTAAATGAAGTAGAGGTCACCGTATGGCCTTCAACAATTACTAATATATATGTATATGTATGAAAACAAACTATGAAACCAAACTGGACATACTACCACCAAAGACTAAGATTTGACCTTGGAAACTAAAAAAAAATGATATCCAGGTGCAAGTTCACCACTTGAATTTCTTTGGGTTTCTGATGTTTTATTTATTTTCATAGTGATCTGCTAGGAAAATAAGATGCTAAATAAAATTGTATAAAACCATTATGGCAACTACGGTTAAGTCTTTAAAATTAATCCTAGATGGTTTGAAAAGTTGAACTTTCTGTTTGTCAAAGTCGCTTTTTAATGTAAATTATGTCTTTTGGTGTTAAAATGACACATAATAAGAAATCAATAAAAATATCCCCGAAACGTTATGCTATAATTGAATATAAAATAAAATATAATACACTAAATCGTACTTTCAATGATTGTGTGCCATATATCCTGTCGCGCTAAGGTCGTCCTGAACATGCAAGAACTATTTGCGCCTAGACGTTAAGCAACCAACCATCAATCAATCATGTCGCGCTAAGGCGGCGTGAAGCAAACAACAACCGATTAACAAATGAATTATCCGAATGATTATTTGGTATCTGCGGCAAAAGTTCGTCTAAGTTTATGCAACTTTCTACTTTATGTGTATCATGTTTAGTAATAAAATAAAAATCACTATATACTTTAAATATAAGCTTCCGTATTCATCGTTTCTCCACACATCTATCCGTTTGCTTGATTCCACATATTTCACAGGGAATTAAATGTACATTGAATATATTAATTAAAGCTGAATGGAAACAGTTGAAATTACTGATTGTGATGCTTGCAAAAATCGCTATGGCCACGATGTAACCATAGTAACATTTGACATTTCATTAATGTATAGAGTAGAGAATGGAAACGGGGAATGTGCCAAAGAGACAACAACCCGACCAAAGAGTAGAAAACAGCCGAAGACCAACAATGAGTCTTCAACGCTGTGAGACAATCCCGCACCCGGAGGCGGGCTTCCGCTGGTAAACAATGATGTGTAATAGTTCACACTGTAACTTTCTTTACAGTGTAGATATGTTTTGAACCTTATTCCATATTCTTTTAAATTTTCCAATGTCTTTGTTAAATCTGTTCATTGTTTTTTTTGTTTTCTCTATTTGAAACGGAAACCTAATTGCAATGATCGTAAACATGTAAATATAATTATGTTTCTATTTTTTAAAAAGCCCTGAAATAAGGGTTTAGGATTTAGAGTTTCAATAATAATAATAATAAAAAAAAGAGGAAAACAAAACAGAATAAACAAACAAAAGAATAATTTCGACGGCATATTTTATTTTTGTATGCTAAAAACTGTTGTTGATTATTTACCACAAAAAGGCAATTATAAGCTGTAGACTCACACATGTATCCATTTGCCTTGATTAGCTTCTTCTCTGTAATCAAATTGTTTATCCCGCCCTTTTAGCGTAGTTTGGATGATACCTTTTACCTGATTATTTATTAGTGAAATGAAGTTTAACACTAATTTACAATAAGTTCTGAATGTAAAAAGAATGGGTGTGTGTTTTTATGATTTTTGTTTGAACTTTCATATCGAAAAGATATTAAAATTATTACAGAACTGCACGTTTTTTTCCGTTGACATCCTCATTTGAGTATATACTGTACAAGGTACACGTGCTCTATAAACGTACATTTTTAATAAGTGGTAGTATTAAAATAACAGAATATTGTTATCTTCAATCGGTAATAAGATACAATTCATTTTTATCTTTTATGGACGCTGACAGAAATATTTTCAATTATATATGAATATGAATTTGTTACTGTAATGTACTTTTACGAAATAACCAATTTATTATGTTATTTTAGAGTTAATGTATTTATTAGACTTTTAAATATTTGCAAGTATCTTGTACCATTTTTACCAGTACCCCGCTGGCACTTGCCCCCGTTGTAAAGGGGTAGTTTCACAATAAAAAATATATATATATATATATATGTAGGACTCTAAAGTGCGATGGGGACGCTAAAACGCGATGGTCACGCTAAGCACTTAGGTGCGATGGTCTACGCTAAAGTGCGATGGTTTGATACGCCAAAGTACGATGGTCTGTGCTATTTTATTGAACACGCTAATGTCCGATGCCTCAATACGCTAAAGTGCGTTTTCCCGACAACAATGGAAATCAACAAAAATGAAAAAGCGGATTACTTTAAAGTTGACGATGTGTATAAAACACTTAGAAACCATATTTTCCAGTAATTCGGTAAAATTAATTAATAAAGTAAAATAACCCTTTTTTTTGCTTGTTGAACGTACAGTGGCAAATATCACATGCATATACATGACGATCATACGCATGACCATTTGATCATTTATACTGAAATAATTTTAGTATTTCTACTATTCATGTTAAGGTTACAAAATATAGTTTAAATTAAGAGGAAAAGAAGATTCTGGAGCTGGCTCACTTGGATGTTGAGGAATTAAATTCGTCCAATTTTAATTTAGTAGCACCTTCTATGTTTGTAATTATATGTTATGAATATGGCTTAAGACAGGTTCATAAAGTATATACTAGCAACTGCAATGTAACCATTACACTTTTTTGACAAGTAGCGTTCTTTAAATAAAAAATGAGACATATATTCTACCAAGACCAAATGTCGTCGATGTATGCAACTGATAATTAGGTGTCAGACCACCAATTAAATATCCCTATCTGTTCAACCAAATTTTGCAATTTTCACAGCTTTCTAAATATTTTACCTTAAGTTTAACTTCATAGAAACCAGATATATCCTGAATTGTACATGTATAAGCTTTCTGCATGCCAACTTTCAACATACATTTGAAGCCTTCTAAGAAAAAAACTGACCTTCAAAAAAGAGGTACTCCAAAAATAACCCCTGGTTTTCTGGAAATCTTAAATTAGTATACTATGGAGCGCATTAATCCTCAATTTTTAATGCAAACTCATAGACAAGTAAATTTTGGCTCAAAATGGTCTAAATATATTTCTCTTTCACCAAAAGGTTCATTTCTGCAAATTTGTTGGTTAGTTTAAGTAAACAAGGACATCAAAAGCACTATTGTGTGTCAGAGTAGGGCTATTTTTCATACGTTCTAAATTAGAGGGAGTAATTGGTGGTCTGACACCTAATTACGGGCTTTAATGTGGAGCCTTAGCCTACTCCGCATAGCAATCTATATATACACAGGGCCACACAATGACCAGTGTAAAACAAACAAAAAGAGAAAGACAACGGCTTGATTACTAAACATAATAATAAACGAAAAACTACAATAATAGAAACACAGCAACATTGCCTGAACCCCTTTCCCGTTACACCATCGCATTTTAGCGTGCTATACTATTGCACTTTAGATGGTTATACTATCGAACTTAAGCGTGTCATACCATCGCACTTTAGCGTTTGACTCCATCGCCGTTTGCGTATACCATCGCACTTTAGCGTGACCATCGGACTTTAGAGTCCTACATATAAATAAGCAAAAATATCATTATTTTTTTATGTTTGATATTTTCAGATCATTTCCGGCTTGGACTATTAGTTCCAGTTTCCGGTCATTCTTCGTACCGTCCGTGGAAAACGAATACTTCTTTTCACATTTCAGGATTCTTAACTTTTTATTAAAACATTTTAAAATTTATTATTATATTACCCGTCGTCAAGAATTTTAAAACACCTATATAAATTTAAAATAGTGAAAAATAAAATTCATTTTACTCACCTTTTGCTGTTTTCAAACATATTAGTGCCGTTGCTGCAAGAATTGTCACTATTTGGTCAAAACTGTTTACACTTTTCATGATTTTGTTTGCTCTTTTTTAAATGAATTATAAAATTCCTGTTTCTTGTTAGTTCCACTGGTGAAAGGATTATGCAAAGTTAACTAAGGAATGTATAAATTTATAGGACTGCAAGAATTTCACAAATGTAAATCTTATCGCTCCCCTTCCTTGTTTCTGAGTGGCTGTTCCATATATGGTCATGTAGTATCTTCCATTCATAAAACAGGAAACGTGGTATAATTATTCAAATTTTCATATTCCACGTACGTTCTGATAATATTTCACATTTTCATTTACAATTATGATAAATTCTTCAATAATTCCTGATATTTACAGAAATCGAATAAAGTAACTGTTAGTGCTTTGAAAGTTGTGACTGACTGACCGTTCTGTACTCACGAGAACCAATATATCATAAGCGCTAATTATCACAGACTAGAAAGTTATCTTGTATAAACAGAGATAGCCATCATATCTTCGGAAATGTTTATAGAAAATTTTAACTACAAAGTTAAGAAAACATTGCTCTCAGCATATATTTGAAGGTCAGTGGTCTTACGTATCTCTTAAATCTAAAAACTTTGCTCCAATTCTTTATGATAATTAGATATATACAATGTTCCAACAGTAAAATCGGGACAAGGAAGAACAAAACTAATGACGAAATAAAAGTTAATTGAAGGATAAACTCTTCCATACTTCGTAAAATTAGGAAATGGTGTATGTTTTTTTGTAGTTCCTGCAACGTAAAACTACTCTCAAATACGTAATAGGATTATTATAATCATTTATTAGAACTATAACAGAATGTAGTCAACCTTGTTTTAAGTATTGAATAAAACGTCTGAAATTGACTATCCCATAATTAGACACTTGATGTACGTTCTTGGGATATTTTGATTAAATTTATAATTACTCTCTATTTTTGTACTATTTATGTTGATGTGGGTCAAATAAGTTATATTTGCAAACATCCACGTATTCATTCATTAAATACGTTCTGTAGAAGACAAAAGTTACGCAATACATATTATTACTCAATACTCTAAAGAAAAGGTATGGTTCAGTTTTAAAAAAAATGTATTGCAAATATATCTGTGTTTTATACGGTACCAAATTAGATATATTATCCTGTTTACTGACTTCCTTTTCTATACAAGTATTCAGATAAGACCGTTTGCCGAAGTACGTCAAAAAAATTGATATACTTGAACCTCGAAATTTCGATATATTCGAAAGAAAATATATACGTACATACACATTTTTATATTAAAAAAAGGAAAGTGCTAATCATGAATGAAAAAGCAAACAACTATAACAAATAAACAAGAAAAACTCACATCTGTAGATGATCAACCATCTTTATATAACAATATACAATAATCTGTTCAGTATCATATGTCAGTCTTACTATTGCCTGAGTCTAGACAGGTTTACGGATATATCAGAGTCCTTTGGAGATGTTCAATCAACACATTAAACGAAAGAAGAACACTGCGATATATGCATTTAAATCCAGGCATAAAACCCCCTTGTTGTTATATTTTTTAGTCTTAGTTGTCCCCTTGAAAATAACAGCAGATGAACAGCACTGAGCTTACATATAAACTACATGTAGTCATTGTAAAATTGTATGGATATGATGACGGAGCGCTTAAGTTGAGCCATGCACGTTTTAGTAGCTAGTTATTTTTCGAGAATTCAAACTGTCCCTTTATTATTAATTCGGTCAATGCAATAACACATGGAACATAGAAAAACGTACCATAAAAAAACTATGAAAAGGAAAAGCATTTATTCTTTGAGGAAAAGCATTTATCATTTGTGGAAAAGCACTTATTCTTTGTTAAAACATATCATATTGTTTAAAAAAAGAGGGGCGAAAGATACAAAAGGGACTCCAAATTGATAAGTCGAAAACAAACTGACAACACCATGGAAATCTTTCTTATCGCTTTTTAATTTATTGAACAGCAAACAATTACATGTTTCAAGGTCCTTTGCCCCCAGTTTGGAATAACCAGCATTTTTTTATTATTTACAACGAATACTTGAATTGTCACAAAAAAAATGACATTAATTTAGAATTACACTACGCCACTTTTGAAATCATCCCTTTTATTGTTACGTAATTTAGACAAATAAAACATCCATGTTGAACAATTTAAGTATTAATCAAAGGGCAAATTGTATCATTCACATTCTACAGTGTTCTAAAATGGCATAAACAAATTGAAATAATTTTCTTCCTGACGAAATATAATCACTGCAAGTAGATACTGTTAATTTAGAAATTACTGCTCAAATTTATCTATGCATTAATTGTTCAATGTACAAAAACAATGGAACTGTTGAACGCGACTTAAGAAAATGGAGATTCACTTGTTGTCGAGTATCGAGTTGCGAGTTACGAAACTATAATAATATAAAATGACAGGTTATGCATGATATTAAAATGAAAAGGAAGCACATTTTTTAGAAAAATGTACAATACCCAGCTGATATCTGAAACTACAACATTTGTATCAAGTCTGCATGCAGGTAAAAATGTAAACTTGTGACAGACAAGACTTCCTTGCTCATACCGTAAAAACACACGCCATAACATTCCTTAAAACTGTTCCTTTATTTTTTGTAACAGCGGTATAGCTTATTGTAGAATAACGTCTTTCCAAATTAAAAAAAAATCCATATTATGATCTATGCCAGGAAGTTACCATAATGCCCTAGAAAGACATCTATAGAATGCTTATTTTTGCGTTGTAGTATTCTCATATACATATATTGAACAACTCGATTATTAACTCTTTAGTATATATATATGCACTCTCCGCTTGGGATTGAATCACAAAGTTAACAAAGTTCAAAATTATTTAATTTATCACATAAAGCACATAGCATATCACATTTCTGACTAATTCATGAGATATTTCCCTAAGTTAAATGTGCAGAGTTAGCACTTGGTATGCTAATGAATATCCTTTATACAAGCGTCACAGATAAGTCTTGTATAGACAAGTCTCGCGTCTGGCGTAGAAATATTATAATATAAATAAGAAGATGTGGTATGAGTGCCAATGAGACAACTATCCATCCAAGTCACAATGTGTAAAAAGTAAACAATTATAGGTCAAATTACGGCCTTCAATACGGAGCCTTGGCTCACACCGAACAGCAAGCTATAAAGGGCCCCAAAAAGACTAGTGTAAAACAATTCAAACAGAAAAAACCAACGGTCTAATCTATATAAAAAAACGAGAAACGAGAAACACTTATGAACCACACCTACAAACGACAACCACTGAACAACAGGCTCCTGAATTAGGACAGGTGCATACAAATGCAGCGGGTTAAAACGTTTTAACAGGCGTCAACAATCACCCTAACCTAAAACAGTGGTATAACATTACAACATAAAAAGACACACAATAAAATATCAATTGAAATGGCTTAACTCGATCAAAAAGACAATACACAAAAACAAGTAAATATACACTGAACGAATAAGTTTGAACTATGACACAATATAAATAAAAAAGATGTTTCAATGTCAAAAAGACAACTTTAACCTAGGACAAAATGGCGTTAAATAAAGTAACGTTCACACTCAGGTAAATTTAAATATAATAATTTTGTTGTTAGGAGTACAAAAACATTATTTACAAAATAAATTTGTTATTAATAGTACGAGTACAGAAGTGAAAATATTTTCGACATACTAAATACTTATCAAAGGTGGTACATATTAAATATAGTAAGACGAGATTTAACACAAAATAAGTAAACATTGAATAACAGAAATGAATTACAAATTGTGTCAACAGGTCGAATTAACACGAAAGTACGAGTTGAGAGTACTCGCAGTTATAAGCCTTGTACCTTTGATAAGTATTTACTTTAGGTCTAACACAGAGCCATATTCTGTGAGATGTCGATAATTTGCAAGTATATTTCATTTGTCTACATGATTTATTTTCTTATGCTTGATTTGTTCAGTACGGTATACATTTTGTCTTATATCTACAGTATATCCTGTTTTATTTTAGAAAATGAACAATGTCGCTCTCATGAAAGAAATTTAAGCGTGCGTTACTTTGCAACATATAGACTCTTATAAAAAAGACTCTTTCAAATCAACGGGACCCTTCCTTATGCAGTGTATAACTAAGTTCAGGTATATGTATGCTTTGTTTATTAAATGCGAAGTAAACCTGAAAATTCTGTTTAAAAAATCAGACGACACGACCGTTTATATATACGACCGTTTATTCTTAAGAAATTAGAGAAACATAATATTTTTGTAACTTACAACTCGACCTTCGTAACTCGCAACTCGACTTTTGTAACTCGCAACTCGACTTTCGTAACTCGCAACTCGACCTTCGTAACTCGCAACTCGACCTCCGAAACTCGCAACTCGACTTCGAGTTTTGTAACTCGCATCTCGACTTTTGTAACTCGCAACTTGCAACTCGACGATAAGAAACCCTCAGAAAATGATGTATGTTAATTATTCTATCAAAATTATAAATCAGACAAAGAAGTAACAAAGAGGGCAATAAAAAAATAAAAAGTCCATTAAAATCAGACGTCGCCCTACAAAGAAAAGCGACGAAAAGACCAAAATCAATCAAAATCACTCAAAAATATAAAAATTGATTCATTTTAACCGCACCAAAATCTGCGGGGGGGAGGAGGGGGACTTAGGTGGTCCGGAATAGTCATCAACTCTTGTTCCACTAGTGACACCCATCGTGTTGCAATTATTAACACATAATAACAAGGAGTCATACATTCGCAGTAATGAGAGTTCAGTCTAAAGAATGCGATATTCATGTTGCATTGTTTTGCAACAATAATTAATACACTGCAGAAATGTACGTCTGTCACACACTTATCCATGGATTACCCTTAACCCAGAAATTTACCCTTATCCATTACCCTTAACCAGAAAATAAAACTTTTCTGAAATATTTTTCAACTAAGCAAAATATTATATTGTAGGTCTTTTGATATGATATATAGTAAAGTAATAAATATTTTTGGATGAGTAGCATTATGATAATTGGGATTAAATGCACAAATATTGAATTAATCCTTATTTGTAAAGGGAGAATTCATTAAAAGAATGTATTTAATGTAAAGGGAGACAACTGCAACGTATTACTCTTAAACGGAAACCGTT